CACACACACACACACACACACACACACACACACAGTTTCCAGCCCTCCATCCCTCTACCTGTAATGCCCTATCCTTCAGCTGGCTCTTAACTTCCGCCATCTCTACCTTGGAAGTGAACCATTACTTAGCAGTTCTACTTTCTGGCCCCAGTTGGATAGTAAAAGTTACTTAATGACACACTATACACTTAGTGTCAACTGTAATACTTTTTATAGAAATTCATAGATTGAATTGAGAGAAAATCTTAAAAGACAAATACAAAGCATGATAAATATGTCTTTGTTATCATTGGCACACTGGATTTGCTAATCCTTGTATAGTCCAAGGTAGTCAGTCTATTTCAGCCAGTGTAGGGGCAGCTTACTCTTTAGTTAAAACTAAAGGTACTCTGCTATAGCTATATTTTTAATGAAAATATAACAGCAAATCTTCCCCCAGATAACTTTTGATTTCCCTCGGCTGGCTTTCTTCTAGTAATTAAGAAACTGCTTTGAGCAGGTAGGTGGGATGGAGCCAGAGTCCAGGGTGGAGACAAAGGGTTGCTGATTCTGGAAACCCTGCAGTTGGTGTGATTGGAAGTTAAAATCCAGTGAACGTAGCCCACATACTTGCCCTGCTCCTTGCTGCAGAAAGTGGCATTCTACAGCAAACACAGGAGCTCCAGTGCACCTTGATGGTACCTCTTCATGCACATACATTATATACACAAGCCATGACACATGTGTCCTGACAGTCGCCCTAGTTAATGGGATATTTGGGAGATGGTGGTCTGCAGAGGAAAAGCAAGCAAAAGTCATTTCCTTGTCTTTCATTTCCCTTTTTTTAGTCCTCAGAGTACAGATCAACAAACATTTTTGTAAAGGGCCAGGAAGTTAATCTAAGGCTTTCAGGCCATACGGTCTCTGTCCAAATCACTGAACCTTCTACTAAGCACAAAAGTAGTCACAGACAATATAAGCAACGCAGCACAACTTCACCCAATAAAATTTCATTTTAGGACACTCAAATTTGAATTTCATGTAATTTTCATATCTCATGGGATATTGCTCTTCTGTGGATTGTGTTCTTATTTCCAGTCATTTAAATGTGTTAGAAGCTCCAGGGCAAACAAAAACACTTGGTGGTCCAAACTAGAAGTTATAGTTTGCTGAGTCTTGGAATATTCATTCAGAATTTCCTTACAATTGACCATATCTGTGTTCCCATTTTTACCTTAGGATCCTCTCCTGTGTATCAGGGCAGATCAAGGCTTCTGGTATCAAGGCTTCCCTTGGATTGCCTGTCTTAGCTGATAGTATAGACAGCACACTGTATAGTCTATAAGAGAAGAAGTATTGACCAGGTCTGTGATAGTGCCTATTTCCTTCTAGGGATAGGGTGGTCAGCTACACACTTGGACGAAGGCTTCCAACAGATCATGTGAGTGGACAGCTGCAATTCCGATTTGAGATCACTTCTTCCATCCACCCAGGTATTTTCAGCATGAACTTCATGTCTTGTCCTAGGCTATTGTCCTAGTGTGTTCCTTTCTTGAAAACACAATAACCATGGTTCTCTCTAGATATGTCCTAGGTTTTGTGCTTCTCTATCTTAAAACCAGAAGCCACTGATGTATTCTGGAAGCCAGATTGCTGTCCCATTGATTGAGAGGCTCTTCTTTACTTTGGTGACCCAAAGGTAGAGGGTTACACAATGGAATAGGGGTTGACAATGTGGCCAATGTAGACAAAGAGCCACGTTTTATTTTGCATTTATTGCCAACACCCACATAAGAGATACTCAGTAGATAATTTCACTATTGCACAAAAGTGAGTGAATGGATGGGAAATATCTTTCTAGCTTGTATCTGGATATAGACTGGCCAGTAACTTAAAAATATATTATTAAAGAACTATCACTATACAATGATTTCTTACAGTATCACTGAGAAAAGTAAAAGATATAAATTAGAAAATTTCAGAATCATCTGTTCTCCTCCTATAGTATGTGTAGATCATGTGGCCCCAGTGAGACTTGCTAGGTTCTCTTGGGCCACATTTGTATGTGGCCATTAAAGCTTGCAATGATTTTGGGAATTGAGAGTGGTTAGTTTACTATAACACTCACTGAACTCCAATTGTATCCATATATACCTCAGATTGTAACCAAACACCTTGACTGCTTTATCCTGTGAAAATCAGCCTTTTGCTACCTTCTGAGAATAAAACTGATCCTTCCTTGGTGTAGCCATAAGTACAGTTTTACAGTTCACTTGAGAGGTTGTCTTCCTTCAACTAGTGAATTGTACTAGTGCACTTGAAATGGAGACATTCACATCAGGCAAGGAATCCCACAGTGGAGCAGCTGGAGGACCGAGAGTTAAGCAGTACCTGCTGCTCTGCGAATGGCTGCTTCATGTGGAGACCCTGTTTATTTTTCTATTGCAATAAGCTTCATGATGACTGTGATTGCTCTCTTTTATCATCTACCCTTTTGTCTTCTCTAGTCACCTTAAATCCTGGCTAATCTGTTTGGGTACCCTTTGAAATCCATCCATAGGAAACATTCTATGAAGCCAGTACCATTAACTTTGCCAGGGATCATAAGGAACCACCCCATCTCTGGAGGCCATCCCACGTAGTAAACAGCTAAGCATCTCTTATTTGGGGCCTTTAGCAACAATAAAAAAAAAAAGAAAAGAAAAATTAAAAAATATGTCCACTACCACAAATTGTCATTAACGTGACAAGAACTCACTCTCACAGAACTTTTCCACAGAGCTCTGGTCAGAGAGAAACCCTCATGATCTCCTACATCCAACAACCGACTGTAGAAACCCCTCAGTGGCAACTTGCATTACTGCGCAGTAGACTAGCATCCCCATGCTCTCTCTGAGAAGGAATGACACAGTTTTCTTCTTGCCAGCAGATGATGAAGAGATTTCACTAAGCACTGAGCCTGAATCCTCAGAAACTCAGGGCAACCTCATGAACAGCCTGGTGGGAAGTGGCCGTGGGGATCCTCCAGATGATGCAATCAATCCCTGCGAGAGATTGAAGGCGGTGCCCTCGGGCGAGGACAACACCTTATTTGGTGCAGAAAGTCAGATCCTGGAGCCTGCAGGGCCCGTAGAGGATGTGTCATGCACCGCAGAGGCAGACAACCACGGCAAGGTGTTTGAGGACGCCGAGGGGGCTGGGGAGCCGCAGGATACCCAGCCCTCCCTGAGTGCAGAGGAACTGGCCGAAGGGCTCGGCCTGGATGATGAGGCACCACCTTCGCTGCTTTTGGAGGATGGAGATGCTTTTACCAGCAAGGAGGAGCCGGGGCAGGAGGAAGCGGCGACAGGGATTGGAGCAGGAGGGGAGGCAGAGGAAGAGGAGGCAGAGAAGCAGGAGCAAGGGGAGGAGGAGGTGGAGGTGGAAGAGGGTGAGCCTTGCAACCCTGAGCCGGAAGACCTTGCACTGCAGCTGAGGGGATCGACCAAAAGGAGGAGCCGGCCCTGCTCGCTGCCGGTGTCGGAGCTGGAGACGGTGATTGCAGCAGCCTGCGCGGACCCGGAGACGCCGCGCACGCACTACATCCGTATCCACGCGCTGCTGCACAGCCTGCCTTGCGCGCGTGAGGAGGGCGGCATGGAAGAGGAGCCCACGCTGCGCGATGCCTCAGACAAGGACGTGCTCAGCGAGGCAGATACTCTAGCAGCTGAGCCACCAGCGATGGATGAGGACGGAGCTGAGCACCAGGGAGGCCCTCCAGGCCCGGAGACCCCAGGTCACCCCGGAGGCCACCTCCCCGGCCCCGAGGGTGATGCACACCCCAGCACAGGCAGCGAGAGCGACTCCAGCCCGCGGCAGGGTGGCGAGCACAGCTGTGAGGGCTGCGACGCGTCGTGCTGTAGCCCCTCGTGCCACAGCTCCTCGTGCTACAGCGCGTCGTGCTACAGCTCCTCCTGCTACAGCGCTTCCTGCCACAGCCCCTCCTGCTACAACGGCGGCAGCCGCTTCGCCAGCCACACGCGCTTCTCCTCAGTGGACAGCGCCAAGGCCTCCGAGAGCACGGTCTTCTCCTCGCAGGACGACGACGAGGAGGAGAACAGCGCCTTCGAATCGGTGCCAGACTCTATGCAGAGCCCCGAGCTGGACCCTGAGGCCACCAATGGCGCGGGGCCTTGGCAGGACGAGCTGGCTGGACCCGGAGGGACGGTGGCAAGAACTGCAGAAGGTCTGGAATCCCCCATGGCAGGTCCGAGTCATCGGAGAGAAGGTTAGGCCTCAAACCTGGTCAGAGTGAGAATAGGACCACCGGGGGCTCGCAGGTCTCAGCGACAGGTTTTAAAACGAGACAGGAGGGACCGGTTCCCAGTGGGGTTCCAGAAGCAACGTGTGACTGGGTTGTGCCCGATGCGTGCATGTGTCTAGGTGTATATGAGAGGAGATGACTGTGGATTGCTGGCACCCCACCAGGTATCAGACACACTCCAAGAAGTACAACTGGTTGGATGTGAGTGTGCACTTGTGTGTATGTTTTTCTGCTTTAACCAGTCACCAGGACTGGAATGTGTAAGTACCCAAGTGCCAACGCTAGTGTCAAACAAATGGAACCATTGAGAAGTAATCACTCTATCTTTGACGTTAGATGGATGATTGGTAAAATATCTGCTGTCTTCCCAAGACACGTTGAGGTTTACCAGTAAATGTTAATGTTAGTTAAAGAACATGGATTTTACCTTTGTTTCAGAATTCAAGTAGTCCATGTGTATGGATGGCAAAAAGCCTACCCATGTTTGTCATTACAGTATTTCTGTCTGCTCAGTTCTTGTCCTAATTGTTGGTTTTGTCTCGTTGGTGTTGTCCTTGTTGGCTTTTTGCTGGATGAAAAGGAAGAATAACATGAATGTGTAAATCAGAGTGTAACACGAATGTGCAAACCAGAGTGTTTCTAATACAATTACAATCCCACAGCGGCCATCTTTAATTCTAAAATGTATTGAGTGTTTTAACCAAGGATGTTCCTTCTTACACCCATGGGATCCTACATTAAATTAACTCCTTTATCTTTATCCAAAATAGGTAACCATCTTCCAGTCAAGTGACAGTAGCATAGGGCAAATAGACAAGTTGCACAGTAATACAATTCAATTGTTTGAAAAGGGCAACACATGGATGCTATTTTGCTGTTTGACTGTTGAAATTCACCTATAAACAAAAAGTGGTGGGATTCTCTGTAGATTGTAAGCTCATCAAGGGCCAGAATTACACATTTTTATTTCAACCCTCAATACCTAAACAAATGCCCAAGGCCTACAAAGTTTTCTGAACAGGAACTAAAGTGAACAAGGCTGCCAATTTGTTCACTGAAGTAACTGAGGCAGGTCAGTCAGGTAGATTCCAGATGCACATGCCCACATATAGGTTAGTCAGCAGCAATTTAGGAAAGAAGACAATTTTAGAGCCTTGTTAGCTTGTTATTAAGTATGAACTGACAGCCATACGAGTATTCTTTGTCTACTTTTCTGCTTGCTTTCTCTCTATAAAAATATTCCTTTGAACTCCATGTAAAATAATTTTTAAACCAGGCATGGTGGGGAACGCCTATAATCTAAGCCCGAGAGAGGCAGAGGCAGAATGGTAAGTCTGAGTCTCATCTGGCAACTTAGTCAGACTGTGTCCACAAAAATAAACAAAATAAATAAATAGTGCTGTGGATGTAGCTCAGTGTGAAGGCTCTAGGTTTAATCCCCAGTACCAAAAGGGATGAATTGAAATCATTTTTAAAACCTTGCACAAGTGAACGAAAGGTGTAAGATGCTGTGATGACCAGCATGAGCCCTAGAGCCCTGCTCAGTGTCTATCCAGCTCCACCATGTCCTCAGCAAGTGACCTAAACACGCTGTGACTCATTTTCCTCCCATGTCCAATAGACAGGATTGGAGAATGCACCCCATGGGTTTGTTGGAAGAGCTAAATGAGATATCATAAATACTAGGAAGTGCTCTCCTCTAACAGACTGAAGGTTTCTCCAAGTAAACAACAGGGCCGACAGCATCCAAAATCACCCTTTCACTTTATATTTCCTGCACCATGTTATTTAAGGGAAATTTTCACATCATTAGGTACAGATCACTGCTCTAAGTAATAGTCAGTGTCCTCTGTGTTTTCCTGCAATTCCATTGTATTATTTATAAACAAAAGAGAATTGAAAAGGACCTCTCTGCTGTTTAGTTGAGAAACAGATTTCTTTCCAGCTTGCTCCACCAGGTCAGAACTCTTGCTTTGCGTTTGAGGCAAGCGTGGTTGTGTGGAGCTGGCTCCTGGCACTGGACGTAATGGCTTGCTTCTGCGCTGCGCTCCATCCATCCAATCAGCTGACTTGTCAGTCACATCACTGCATCTGCTTGGGGCTCCCACGCAGGTGGGCCAGCTCCATTAACCCCAGGCAAGCAGCAAAACTGTATTTCCACTAGCTTGGAGGAGTAATTAGCCTGTTTGGTTGAATTCAATACAATGAGATGTTTGTTGGGGTTTTTGGGTTTTTTTAAAGAAACTAAATTAAAAGTGCAGCAGCTGATGACATAACAACTGTACCATTGTTTTGTTTTGTTTTGTTTTGTTTTTTAAGTACTGACACTGAACACACAGAAAAACCAGCACGAACGTAGTCCCTGCTCAAACACAGAAGCCATGTTTGAAACAACACTCATCAGTCCAGCTGAGCTGTGTGTGGCAGGACGGTCACCTTCTTTGTTTTCCATTAGCCTCTCTGAGGAATGGAGGATTTGTTTAATACTAAACAATTTGCAGTGTCATGTTTTTAACATTTTAAAGAGTCTTTTGTTTTTGAATACAACTGTATTTTTGTTTGCCAGTTACCTCTAGGAATTAAGCTACTAAACTAAACCCTCCTAACTTCATTCATTAATTTAACCTTATTTTTGATAGGGTTAGGGGAGCTAGAGGAAGAAAAGAGACTCACTTTTCTCCGTGTGGACATTCTAGGAAATGATTAGCATTTCAAGATCTCACAAAGATCTAAACCATCACGGTCATGGTTTCTCTCCCTTTTGATCCAACAGGTAGTGGAACACTTGTTATTTGTGTCGGCCTTGGAGGACAGAGGGAAGAAAAGGGTTGACATTTATCCCCTGGCTATTGGGGTGGGAGGCAGGAGGAAACCAGGCTGAAGTTGTCTTGAGTCCTGGGTTCTTCTAGGTCTCCAACGTGAAGAGCAATCACGTGGTTCCATAGGCCATCATGAAAAAGAAACACTGTTCTAGAACATTATTGTGTCCATCATAAGTCTGAACTGATACCACCATAAACTATAATACTCTAGGACACGCATTCTGTGGATACAATGTTTATTTCTAGAATTTCTCCTTGTCTGTCCTTCCTTCTATCCTGCTTCTGTATTTCAATTTTCCTATTTTAGTCCTACTTTTATATATTTCCTTTGTCTCTTGTCCTTCCTCTTTGCAGAGCACCATGACTTGTCTGATTCTTTCTCTGACTAGTCTAGGAGAGTCACGAGTTCCCAGAGCACCTTAGGTTTCCTGCTGCAGCTTCCCTATATGAAGAATTTACCTTCTCAGTTCACAAGCTCCTTGAACCAGTTAGGAAAGTCAACTTCTAAAAGTTTCATTCCCCTCAAAATCAGAAAGCTGGGCTCTGTTCAGTCTTCTCACGAAACCTAGTCTTATGATAAGATATAATTTTGCACAAGCCCACTAAGCCTTTATGGAACTTTATAAATTCTTCCCATCCCTCCAACAAGCTTGTTTCCTTTTCTGGGCTGAAATCAGCCTCTGATTTTTGTCTCTTATATTTCTTTCTGATGACAGCTTCCCATCAAGAAAACTCAAGTGGTCATAAAATCATACTCTAACCTTACATACGAGTCTGTGTGGCATTCATCATTTCTCATGAAGTGTTTGGATTTTTTCCTCCTCCTTCTTCCTCTTCCTCTTCCTCTTCCTATTCTTCTTTTCAATAATTTCCTCCATCATGAATGACTGTGAATGTAGCAAACCATCACCAAAAAAATAGATTGCCAAACTAAATGTTTTGTTCTTGTAGTTTGTTTTACACTCATGCTTTTTTTTTGTGATGTTATCATAGCAATGAATGAATCTGAATTTCTTGACTATCTTGTCCATAGGTGAATGTCCTATTCTCCATAATTCCCAGCCAGTAAGCCAGCTTCCTTCCCTGAGGCCTGAACATCACCACTACCCAACAATCGATGAGCCTCTTCCACCAAGTAAGCTTTAGTTTTTAAAATCTGTGTCTTAACTTTTCCTGTCAAGTCTAAACAGGTCAGTATGAATTTGTATGTAAGCATCCAAAGTCTTTCCCAACTCTGTACCTATCACTGTTACCTAAAACAGTATGACACCTAGTACTAAAACTGGTATTTTTTCTGCCTACTTTTTCAGCTTGTGAGCTTGAAGAAATAACCAGATGTTTTCAATGTCCCTTATTTCCTGAGATGAAGCTCATTCCCTTACAAGCAACATTTGACGAATGTTATTGTTACTTGGAAACTATTCATGACCCTGAAATCCCACATTTCACTATTGCATTTAATTTTTTTTATTCCAAATAGTATAATTCTGTTATCCTCTGTTGGATCTGCTATCCACAAGTACCTCCACCTAGTAGGTACTAACTTCAACCCTCAGGGCCCAGGACTTTTACTTTCCTTGCCATAATTGCATCAGTAAGTAAAAGGTCCTAATTTCTTCTGTAGTCCTTAGAGGTGGCCAGGAAAAATACCACCTTTAGGATAGACTTCAGTGTCATTTTTTTCTTAGTAACAATAGTGTAGAATTAATACTTACCTAACTAGTTGTCTGAGCTCCAGAAATTCATTTATATTCTCAGATGCTCAGTTTTCTTATTTATAAAATAAAACTAAAGTGGCCTGACCTGCTAAGCACAACATTTGGACTAGGTTGTTTCTAGATATCATTCCAGAATTGACTTTATAACACTCCATTTTAATAAATTTATAGGAAGGAGCTACTACCCCAGATATTATAAACTCACTTAGCATCACATATGTTCATGAATTCCTGAACACCTCTGTTTGAGTTTAGGATTTTTAGTTGGTCCGACAGTTGGGGGTTATTATTAAACTGAGTTTAGGATATTTTTTCCACAGAAAGATGATCTTTAAGATTTGATAGGCCTTTTTTCTGCACAACTGAAAAATCTTTCTACAGGCAAGAAAAGAGTGTTTCTTTACATTCTTTTGCCTGTGCTTTTGTTAAGCTGTTACAGTTTTCAAAAGAATTATTTGTTAATTCATCTGTCCTTGGAAATTTGAGATCTTTTGCACAAACACCACCTTTTTTCACTAGCCAATTGTAGTTTATTAGTAAGGAAACAATGAATATTTTTGCTTTTAAAGAGCCAAGCCAAATGTTATCTCCTTTAATTTCTTTCTTTCCTGTTTTTTGTTTTTTGTTTTTGTTTTTGTTTTAATATTTTTGGCACAGGGTCTCACTATGCAGCTCAGACTCATGGTGATCCTCCTGTTTTCAGCTTCCCAAACACTGGGATTACAGGCGTGTGCCACCACGCCCAGTCTGGATGGCCAGCTCAGTGCACCCGGGGGCGAGACTGGTGTGGCATGTGGTGCTGGGGATCAAACCCTGGTCCCTGTACTTGCCTAAGCATGTGCTTAGTCTGCTGAGCTATCTCACTGGCCCTTTTCTTTAATTTTTGATGCTTGATTTCTTTTTTTAATAAATACATTGATTTATAATATAAATAGTAAAAATTCATCATTATTATAAATGTTTTACTTTTAGCACTGTGTAAAAATATCAATAACATGTTTTTGAGACAAGTTCTAAGTCATCCTATGCAACTAATTTAGCATAACCCTATCTCAAAGTAAAATTTTTAAAAGGTTGGCGATGTAGCTCATTGGGAAAACACTTACCTACCATGTATGACCCAACACCATGAAAAAAAAAGGAAAAAAACCTCCTGATAAACTTCAATCTCCTGTCCACAGAGCATGGAAAGATATTGGAAAAGTTGTGAGCCAATCCTCCCAGCTGAACTTTCTTAGATAATCTCAAATGGTACCTAAATAATTTCACTACTTTTTGTAGGTGCTTTCCTAGGCAAGCAAGATGGACAAAGATCCCTGCCCTCAGGGAGCTTACAGCCAGCCTGGGCGACCTGGTAGAGCCTAGAAGGGGACTTCTAATGAAAGGGAACTTCACAGGGTTTTAAGCAGAGAAGAAGCACTCTGGGCACCCAGAGCGCAGAAGCTTGTGTTATTCAACCCTGTTTCCTAGGAGCTAGCATAGTTCCGAGTTCACAAAAGTGCTAAAGAGTGTTAATAACATAATGCTCTTTAAAGATCAGTATTTCTTCCAGGTTAGATAACAGTCCTGTTAGATTCAAGAAAAAGAATTGTCTGGTTGCTTTTCTACTATTAGCTTGGGAGCCATTGAAATTTCAAAATTCTTCAATCAAGATTAACCACCAAATCGCACAACCACACATGCATACAAGTTCAGCAATGAGCTAGTTAATATTTACCACTAACACTAGACAGCTGGATTATCTAGTCATCAATTTAGCTAAAGCCTTCTGGAACACACCATACCATGTAACTACATTTTTCCTCAGCTTACTTTATAAATTAAATTTGGTGTTTGGGGTATTTTGATTTTCATCAGGCATCATTTGACCATCCCTCAGGTCAGGCACATACCGACGTGTCTCTAAATAGATGCGCCATGTACATATGAAGCCAAAACTAGGCCATTTATTTTTCCTCTTAAAAAATTGAGAGTTGCTATGTCATTACCTGAATGAAGAGTTTTCAAGAAAAATTATTATTATCTGACCTACTCCCAAAAGCTATGGCTTTTCTCACTTACGAGGCTGAACAGTTGTTTCCCCCCTTTGCCATCATTTTTGCCTTTTCCGCCGCTGCGGTGCAGTGTCTTCCCAGCATAACATCATCATGTTGTTGCTGTTCCCACCACATTGGTACGCATGGTCTCCAAGAGCTTCCTCCATTCATTCCCATGTGGTAGACCTTGTCTCCTGTGTCAAGCTCAGGTATGAGCACCCACTTCCAGCCCTTCAGTCTGAGGGCACTTTCATGCATCTCTCCTGCCGCAGCCCCTCCATGCATTATTACGGCGTGTATCATCAACGCTTGTGCCTTTTCCTTTCTGGTTTTATTTTTGTGTGTTCAATTTGACAAGCAAAAGAACTTATCTGTATCTTGGGCTCCCTCTGCTGTTCAGTACTGTTATTTATCAACAAGTTGGCACAGATTTAAAACTTTAATGTTTATCAGTAGCTGTTATGGGTTTAGTTTGGTTCTGGTCGGAGATACTTGGCAGCCACAGGTAGGTTGAAGGTAATTGTGAATGGACAACTTGCCTCAGTTCCAAATCCTCCCACCCACCCTCTAAGAGAAATGGCAATCAATTCAGCTTGATAAGCTCTTTAAAAGGGTCATCTAAAGTTACAGATATAAGGACTAAAGTTAAAAATCAGTTTTAGTACAAGTGCCATCAGCACTGAACCTAATTACCATCTGTTACGTTTATCAAAGAAAAGGTTCTTCTGCAGGTGTGTGGTGTCCAGCTGGATCCCAGCACTCTTGCAGGCTGAAGCAGAAAGGTGGCAAACTCAAGCTCTACCTGGACAATTTAGACCTTGTCTCAAAATTTTAAAAAGGGCTGTGACGTAGCTCTGAGTGAAAACCTTGGTTTCAACCCATAGTACAGGAGGGGAGAGGGGAGAAAAGGAAAGGAAAGGAAAGGAGAGGAGGGGAGGGGAGAGAAGAGGAAGGGAGAGGAGAGAAGGGGAAAGGGGGACTGATTCTCCAGTGTCACAGTGTAGACTCCACCCTCACTGGAGGACATGTCCAGGTTTCCACAACTGTCATTTAAGTAGCCAACAAATTTTCTAAAAATATAAATAGACTTTTTCTTTAGAAATTCTTAGAATTTGAACATGGGTTGTACCCAGAGAAAGCACCACTATTGTTTAGAGGGGCCCAGCGGGAACTCTGGATGTCCCATGCTCTGTTCTGCAATGCCCCATCCGGTACCACTGGTGACTGGCCTTTGTCACAACCAATGGTGAGTTCTACCTGCAAGAGACCTGGAGTGGCAGCTGTTCACGTGGATCAGTGGTTTGTCCTTGATTTCTCTTTTTACCTTTCTATTAAACACTAGACTGGGAAGCTCGGATTGACAGCCATGGGCGGGTCTTTTATGTGGATCATGTGAACCGCACCACCACTTGGCAGCGCCCAACCGCGGCAGCCACCCCCGACGGGATGCGAAGATCTGGCTCAGTCCAGCAGATGGAGCAGCTCAACAGGCGGTTGGTGATCAGTATGCAATGAGCTCCTCTCGACCTAAAGACACCCACACTTTCCTGCCCAGTGAGCGGTCAAGGAAAATAATTAGGTTCCTTAAGGACCTGTTCATATTAAAAAAAAAAAAAAAAAAAAACTGTTCATAGTACTCGGAAGGCGGGACCTAAAATAAGGTGGCAAAAGATAAGTGGAGCTTGAGTGTCACTTAAAATGGGGCTCCCAGGCCTGGAAGGGTAGCTCGGCGGTCTAACCGCCTGTCTAGCAATGCACCCAAGGACCCAGGTTCTATCCCGGTTACCACATGCTGTGTGGGCCCTGGAACCCCGGGCCTGCAATGCTGACCCTGAAACCAAGTATGATGGTGCACGCCTCTAATCCTAGCACTGGGGAGGCTGAGACCAGAGGATCACTATGAGATTGTATAGAGAGACCCTGTATCAAATAAATAAAAATATTTTTTAAAAAATAAAATAAAATGGGGCTCCGCTGGACTTCTTACAGGTCCAGTCTAGAAAACAGGAGTTTGTAGCCACAACCCCCAGCCCAAGTCTTCGCAAAGAACGTTAGTGTCCCATAGACCTTCCAAAAGTGGGCCCCTAATTATACGTGGACATGCATTTCCTGACAGACTGGTCCATAGCCATGGTAAAGTTCTCAACAAGTGCAGATCTCAGAACAATTCAGCACACTGCAAGGACAGATTCCACAGGAAACTTGCTGCAGGAACAACTGTCTCATAAATCACCATCTTGGTCTCATAATCAGTAGGCACTCATACATGCTATTTCCTGAAAACCTTTCACCTCAGAAAAAGAAATGTTCACAAACATCCTTGGCACATGATGCAGTGGCAGCTCCCTTAATCCCAACTACTTGGGAGGCTGAGGCAGAAGGATGGAGGGTTTAAGGCCAGCCTGCACAATATATAATGAGACCCTGTGTCAAAAACATTTACTATTTTGGAGGAATTATTTTCTTTAAAAACTAGACCCTTTAAAAAAAAAACTAGACCCTTACTATTGATCTTGAAAATAGGTCATGCTAACATGAGAACAAAACCGTAAGCCGTGCATCACCCTTGTTTCAGCTAGCAGAGAGCGGTATGTCCACCATCTTGATTCCAGGGACCACAGTGGTAGCTTTGGCATGCTTGTAGCTGCCAGGGATGCAAGCCACAGGCACGCTTTGGTTGTAACTGCAGCAGTGTGCAGTCCTTTGTCTGTGTCCCACATGAAGCTAAAGAAAAGGTTGAAAAGGAACAAGAAAAGTAGAGAACGGGGCTTGAGGAGCACCTGTTGACAGCAAAAGCCTTTGAAACTCAGCCGTATCAGCCAGGAGAGGGAAAGTAGACCACTGAGTCCTATCAAAAACACACGCAGTCAGAAACCTCAACTGCTTGTTACTATTGTACACAAAAGAATGTGCTTTAGGTGGAAGTCACCAGAACATTTCTTTATTGCTTAAACATTTGGAAGAGATTTGCTTCCCATGTTTCTTCACCAGTGTTTAAGTCATTACTGAGAACCATAAAGGATTTTCATTGGCTCATACCTCTGCAGTCATTCATACTGGAACAAATCATCATCCAGGGATAGCCTTGTGTCTAGTAAAACTCGTGTCTGAATTTTACTAGACATGGGTGCACACAAAAATCCATGAACGGTACTTTCAAGGTGGCCGCAACGAAACACCTGCAATTTTGTAGATGCCGCAGCAAGCTCATTTTACAGAAACCCTATTATGATTCCATAGGCCAGCCTGAGAACTGTCTTGTTAAAATAGATGAGCTGAAATTGTTCAACCGACTGAAAAAGCATTACCAGGGCATGTGCACAAGAGGCACAGTCTGGAAAACAGGAATTCATAGCCACAACCCCCAGCTGTTTGAATGCATTCAGCTGTTTGAATGCTGAATGCTAAATATGTAAACAGTGAATAAAACAAACTATAACTCTGAAGCAGAACAAAGTATTTCTTCTATGGATTTTTTGTTCTATGCATATAAAGCCATAAAAGTTCATAATGTTCAGGATGTACAGCATCAAATTCAGGCCAGGGAAGCTGGACTTCGTCGCACTCACTGCAATCCCAGAGCTCTGGAAGGATCCAGCTTAAAAAACTTAGGGATGTAGTTTGAAACCAGACTGGCAACTTAGTTATTTAGCAAGACCCCATCTCTTTCTTAGGAGGCCCTAGATTCGGTCTCCAGTACAGAGACGAAGGAAGTAAGTTTGGCCAAATTCAACTGGAGCTGGCCCACTCAAGAAGTCTTGCAGCTTTTCCTCTATCAATTTCTGTGCCCTCCAGTAGGACTGAACACATGGGGAGGAAAGGCCAGACTTTGCCAAATTAAAAGCTGTGTTTGTGGTTTGTCTGAACAGATAAAAAGAAAAGGAATTTAGCAATTTGAGAAAGTACTTATTCTTGTGAAAAAACCTACCTAGGGAGGGTCAGCTAACCCTCATATAAGAATACAGGATTTTGAATATTTGTCTGAACCCACTGCCTTCAAGCATTTAACGCTTCCTGTGATTTAGCATGATAAGAGCAGCCCCCAGTGGCACCCCACCAGTCTTTCTCTAGCTCATCTGCCACTCACATGGGAATCATTTTCTGATAACCAGCAGCTATCAGGAGAAATTGGCAGGGTCACTGTCTTACCATAAAACAGAACCACATCTTGATGTTACCAGAACTGTCCCCTGAATCCCCATGATTGTGAAAATCAGCTATACACTGGTGTTCTGAAATTCAGAGGGCCTGAAGACAGTGGATGAACTCTTCTGGTCACCTACAGGGACCACGTCAGACTCAGCCACTCTGCACAAATGACACACCCTCCCAAGCCTTTGTGTCTTGACCACAGGCTCCCACCATGGGGAGGCCCCTCACTGTCTGCCTCCCACCTGGGACACATGGGTCCCAGGAAGTGACATAATTGGAGGTAGATGATGGTTGTTAGCTTAGGTGTCTTGTTGTGCCAGTCACCCTGACTGGTATCTAGTGCCAGTGCCTCTTTACTAACGTGGCCCTGGGGTCACTCTGCCAGCAACAACTTCACGGCCATCTCCTCATTTTTGTTTCTGCTGACTTAGGAGGGTTCCTTGGTAATTTCGAACTTATTTAGAATATCAAAATTTTTCCTTAATATTTGCTTTGAAAACTAGTTATTCCCATGTGAATTGTCTGTGTTCAGGTTCTTATTTGGGGGTATGATATTAAAAGGTTCCCTCCTGGTTAAATTGTATATGTTTCTATTTAAAAATTGTGTATTTAAGCTTTTTATCAATTTCCCTATTAATATACTATGAGTGTTTAACCTTTTGCTGCAAATCAACCTTTGGCTTCAGGGAGGAAAGAATGGAAGGAGGGAGAGAGAGAGAGGACATTCACAAATAATTCTTTTT